GACCTCCTCGCTATGCCTCTTTTCTCTTAAAGGGGTCATCCTCTATCCTCTCTTAGGTGTCCGACACGCCGAGCAATTTCAGCGGATATGCACATGCTAAAGCGACGGGCCGTATCATGAAGTATTGTTTTGGGCGACCTTTCTTCACGGCGGGAATACTTTGTGATAAGACTTCGCGAAACAATGGGGGAGGGTCATAGGTGGTCCCACGTGTTTGGCTGTGGTGCGATTCCCGCCGGATTAGTTTGCCACCTGCCGTGACACATGGCCCGGACGCACGGTTCCTGGTTTCTGCAGCACTGGTTTGCCACCGGCTGTTATGTGTTGCCCGGACGCAGGTTTGTTTTTTGTTTTTTGCTTTCTTTCTTGGAGTTGCCATGTCAAAATTTATGGTTTACAAGCGTCGGGGGCTGTGAACCGCGGCGTTGGCGCACTGGCAAGTGCCAGCCTGCAGGAATTTGAGAGACGTGCAGCTAATTACGCCCTCCAACTGCCATCCATTGGACATCAAGGGTCCAAGCAGCTCCTCACATCCGGCAGCACTTTTGGTGGATGGTTTATATTTCTCAAGGTCCACACACCGGGACTAGGATTTCTGTAGGGTGTTGAACATACTTTGAGGGACCAGGGCTGATGAAGAGCCTGCCCTGAGTTGCCCAGATCCCGATCCCCCACCGAAAATGGAATCGATCAAAAGAGGGTTCCTTCCAAAGCCAGGTCTTCCTCCTTTCCCCCAAACATCCACAGGCTTGCAACTTGCAACCCTGTAGGTGGCTACGAGGCAGCGGTCGAGGGCCCAGATTGGCATCGACTCACCGACTGGGCGCACCAGAAGTTTGAGGCGGTGCCGGGCATCACCCAAACCTCAGACACCCAGAGTTTTTGCTCCTCTTTTTCTGGAGGGCCCCGGCTTCTGCTTACATCATCAGAGCACGGTGTCCGTTTTGTGTTTTGGGCTGGGGGCCATTGGCTGGGTTCCCACCTTCAAACCGCGTGGCCTCGGGGGGGGTGGAGCTATTTGAATGCATGCAGTGCTCCAAGGGGAAGCCAAACCCTTTGTTTCACCCGTGTAGCTTGGTAAGCTTTGAAAGGGGGACACCTAATGCTTTGGCTTTGGCTTCACTTAAGACAAGGTGACGAGGATACCCTCACATAAGCCGCAGTTGCTCAGGGACAGGGTGGCCGCATTCGCGGCGGTCCCCCTTTTTCCTTTCTTTTCGGTGTGGTTCCAAATTTCCCCACATCCCCTCTGAACTTGATCAATTCCGCCAAACCTCCACATCCCCTCAAAGTCATAGTTTAAGAACAGTCTTTTGCAACTGGGGGCTTCCCAGTTTCTAGGCGGGGCGTTTGTTTTTTGACTGCCTCCTTCACTCGTCTCTCGTCCACCGCCTCTGCGCGAGGCGGTGCGCCGCTGCGTGGAAGGCTCCGCGGAGATGCCGCTGGGACTGCGGCGGCTCTCGGACTTCGACAAAGCCCTGGCGGTGCAGGACGCGACGTCTATGGAATCCCTCCCGTACCGCACCGTGCCATGGGGGTAGTCGGTAGTTCATGGATTCCCACACATGGCGGTGGGTCAAAGCCAATGGGATACCATTTTGGGGTAGGTGCACCACCCATGTTGTTTATTTTAGTGGGGATGGGGATGTTCACTGGGTTTCGGGATTTTGACCCATGGCCATATGTTTTTCTTGGTAGACCGTGCTTCACCGCTGCCATCCTGAAAAAGACATTTTATGGGAAGCATTGCTGGTCTAGCATGGATTTCCGACCCTGCACCCTCCAAAGCCACTAAATCAAGGAGCTCCCTACATCCTAGCTGTTGGTTGGATTTGGGAGCCGTTGGGACCTGGAGGTATCCTTATTTGCTTCACAGGAGCGGTTCAGGAGCGACCAGGAGGTCTGCAAGGACATATTAGCTTTGTAATCCCATCCGGGGTGTAGGTACGTGCAATGGGAGTGGGTAGTTGGGAGCCCGTTTCCGGTTCCTTACGGATTGAAAAACCACGCGCCCCAAGGAAGAATGGCATCATGTAGCCTGCAAATTGTGTGATACTCCAATGTTTCTTGCAGTACCTCATCCAGCTTGGAACCTGGAAAACTTTCGGTTCAAACCATGGAAACGAAAGGTGCATAGACTGGTGCAAGATAAGATCGGGTTTCCCTCCACTTTTTGCGAGAGAGGATCCTTTTTGTAAAGTAGTCTTAGAGATGGTCCACTTCGATCTAAAACAAGCTTTGGCACGAAAGTTCCTCAGCTCAATCTTTTTGTGTGTTTGAGTTGTTTCAAGCGTATATGATTGGCGGGCGACAAGGTAAGCAAGTGACTCAAGTTTGGACCTTCAAACTCCGGGAAATGTCCTCGGCGTTTTGGGAGACCCCTACCTTCACTGTTCTTGGCATGTTGTTGGTTTTTTTTCTCCTTTTTTTTCTGTTCATTTTTACTGGGGGGTCTGCAAATAAACAAGGTTTTTAGCTACCATGCCAAGAGTAGAGATGCTACGTTTTTGGTTTTGAGGACTACCGGGACCAGCTTGCCAGCTTCAACCTCGTCGGCCTTGGCTTCACCTACACGTGCCATGTCCGGTTCACCCGCCGAGGAAAGCTGTTTCTGGTTGGTGCGATAGGGAACGACCGAGTAAAACGGGTGTGGGGAATGAATCGCTGATTCCCTCAAAGGAAACCATAGAGGATGAATTATCGGGGTCCATCCCACGGTCTTGAATTAGGAGAAGCATGACCGAAAAGAAACACAAGTATGGAACATGCGCATCTTGTGAAATCAGTGGTTAATTTTCAACGATACGATTGGGACAGTATCGGCAGATATCGGCAATACTTGGGGTCTTGATCATGGGACTAAGAAAAGCGTCGTGTGGGGATTGTGCAGGAATAATGTTGGGTAAAGTCTAGTGACCTCGTCAAACTAAACTCCCCGTGAAGTCACTCGGGAGAACGAATTGAACATTTGTCAGACAAGCAAGGTAGGGAGTTCGCTTCTTTGCGTGCCAAAAAAGGTAATGGGCAAATCAGTGCCTACTTTATAGCGAACTTACTTAGGTGCAACACGAGACAGCAATCTAAACACATCTATAAGCAGGATATTTGGTTTCGTGTCAACCGGAGTGGAAGACACAAAACGGTGATGGTTACCTAAACAAAAGGACTCACAATTATCCCGCGCCACCTTTTGTTGAAGAGTATCATTTGCCCTGAGTCAACCGAAGCGAGTGTTACAAGAGTGCTAAAAGATCTCACCCTGGACTTGTGCAACTTTTTGGGAAGACCATTTTAGCGGCAAAAAAAGTTCGTACTTTTTTGGCCAATTCACTCAGGAAGTGAGAGAGACGGAACCGATCCCGGTGACGTCAATGGTTTCCCCTCTTGTGTTTTTTTGGTGGATTCCTCGCTAGAAATAGTCCCAAAAGGGCTCCATTCTTTTCTATCGGGCTCATTGGAAAACTGGGAGTGGCCCAAAGTGGCCCAATGCGTGGGAGAGATAGAAGATTGGTGCCAGCGCTTTGAAGATAAGGACTCCAACGTTGCCACGCATGTTGGCTTTCCAGGCATCTGGAAATACTACGTGGGTCTGTTTTTTTAGGCTAGCCGGTGCCCTGAACAAGCTGAATATGTTGCATCCAACGTGTTTCCCAGGCGTACACACTCCCCAAGCCTGTAGACGTCAGAAAGTGACTTACCCTCCCGCCAACGTGAACCCAACAGACAGTCCCAGCCGTAAATAGGTTTGGATATCCGCCCTGATTGCTACACGGGTTTAATGCCAGGTTTTGATTAATTATAACTCGCCCTGGGTGGGGGTGGGTGGGGGCGGGTGGGGGTGGGTGGGGGTGGGTGGGGGTGGGTGGGGGTGGGTGGGGGTGGGTGCGGGTGCATTTGGGGTCAACAATCTGCAATTTTTACCGATTTTTACTATAATTCCATCAGCTGGATTAAGAATCTGGATCCCCAAGTAAAGGACCTTTATCAATGGTGGGCTCGTTCTGCCGAATCGGTGAGCTCGCTATAAAATAAGCAAAACAATTGCAACATTGCAATTCGACCCCGAGAAGATGGTCCGAGCCTTTCATTTTCCGCCTGGATAGGATATCCTTTTGCGCTATACCAAAAGAGTCTTTCCAACATTCCTTCCAGGATCCACAGTCCATGAAAACCTTCCCCCCCCACCCACCCCCACCCACCCCCACGGTCCCCCTCCCACCGCCCACTTTTGGCAAAATCCCCACGCCAAGAACCCGAGGCGCCAGATGCTGGAGCGCCAGGGTGTGACGCTGCTGAGCGGCGAGAGGAAGGACAGTGCTCCGATTCGCAGATTCAACTTGGCTTCTGCGAGTTGGCTGTGGGACAAAAAAACCACCAGGAATTGGACCACAAGTTGGTTGGTTGGTTGGTTGGTGTGTGGCCAGCACGTGTTAGTGAGGCCAGGCACGCGCTTCCCCCCCGGCCGAAGCTTGGGGTAGCCGGCCGGAGTTGGACCACTAGGGTTTTAGGGCTTTAGTCAAAGTTTCCAGTTACCAGGGTGCCATTTTGGGTACCTATTTTGACCCACAGCCATTTGGTTTCAGTGTTTGTCTTTCCCCCGGTGGTCAGGCTTCCCTTCAAAATCGTGGACACTTGTTGTTTCCTTCTTTATGTTTCGGAGATGGCTTCCCTTTTAAGAAGTTATGTACAAAAGGCGGCCTGTTCTCGCAGTTGGCACGCTGTTTCACTTTGCGTTGCTACAGGGTCTCCAAAAAGGTGACCTTCCAAACATGTCGGGCATCTGATCACTTGAAACCTAAACGATTTAACGCCAACTCACCCGTTTTGGTTCGTGTGTTGTAATTCCCCCAGATGGCACCGAGCTTGCTTGCATTGCTTTATCGTCAACCCCTGAAGTCGGATGCTTGTTTGCTTGGCATTTGAAGCACGGGAACGAGTCGTTGGGTTGTGCTGATAAACCCTTTTTAATAGGGTTCGGACTGCGCTGACAATGGTCCTGGCCCTGAAAACCAGCGGGGATGCCAGGGCCGAGTGTGGGGTCATTTCCAATGTGTTTCACTTGAGTCGTGTGCCCCGTTTTTTCGGGTTAGGTCCGTGTATTGCTTTCATCCTCCTGTTACTGGGCAGGTGGGTAAAAATGATAGGCGTCCTCATATTCCCCCTGGCTGAAACCTTACCTTTTGGGCTGTGCTTTTCTTGATTCTTGTTGGGAGGGGGGATGTGTCACAGGGACTGGGGTCGTTTTTATTGATATGGTTTTAAGTCTCAAGGTTTATTGCTAAATACGCACCAGCGCCCAGCACCCTTCAAGGGCGGTCCATTTGTGCCTGAAGTGCCCTTCTGTGAGCCATTTGGGTACCAATTGACCTTCAAAAGTTTTAGACCAAGCAACATGCTTAGGGAACCCTGGTACTTCCTTTGGGTGAAATGAACATGTTTCTTATTTTTCCTGTTGGTGAAAAAGGGAACCTATCACTACTGGACATATATTTTGTTTCCAGGGGACTTGGGCAAATGGAGGGCTAGTTCCCTCCAATCCGAAGCAAGCCACTCCGCAGGACGCCTGGCAGAGACTCGCGGTGGAGGCGGCAGCCCAAGTGGCCGGCACCGGCAATGACGCGGACCAGAGCGGCCTGGCCGGAGCGCAGAGGGATGCCAACTGGGTCCCTGTCTCCGGTTCCTGTTTTGGGGGGAGGGTTTCCATAGTAAAATAGACTACAGAAAAAGAATCCGGTACCCTTATTCTGACCTTTGTACTGGAGGACCTAGCCAAGGGCCAACCTTCAATTTGGCTTTGCCAGGTCAGCGTGTGGAATCGTAGGTGTCCTTTTTGGGTTGGTTTGCTTAGATGGCCCTGGTTTACCTGGTGGTTCAAATCATCTACCAGGGCCATCTATTTTCCAAAAAGGACACCCTATGTGTGGAATCATACCTGGCTCTTCCAACATGTGCAACATATAAATTACTGTTTTGTCAAGAACTAGGTTTTTTGACCCAACGGCTATTTACATGGTCGGAAGGTCCAGGTATAGTTTTGCCATTGACTCAAGCGCTGGTGGGAAAACATGATTTTTGAAATCCTGAGTTTAGGGGGGGGGGGAACGTTAACCATATATATTGTCCAGTCCTTACGTTGATGCTTTGATTTGGTTCCTTGTCGCTTTTTGTGGCAGTTGAGTTTCTCGAATCTCTTTGGTGTGGTGTCCAGGGAGCATGTGCCAGCACCCAAGGGCTGGTTCAATCACCTGGATGCTGTTTAGACACTGGCGATTTTGAACAACGAAGCAGTCGTTGGCGCTTTTTGCGGTGTCACTGCTGTTTTGGTCGCAGACTATTTTGTTGGGCACCCTGCGGCCAAAAGGGTCTCTTCAAAATTCAAAGCCTGGTATTTGAAGTATTGTGAAGAGCTGGTCATAGCGTCCAAGAATCAATGCCATTCCCTTGAAAACTCAAGAAGTGCCGACCTAATCGCAGCAAGGGGTACCCGTACCCTCAAACAGAGGGTTTGTATCAAAATAGTGGACCCTCCCCCCCACAAACAAAAAGAATCACGTTGTTCCATCTTAGGAATCTGGGTGTTCCTTGATTATCCACAGAAAGGGGTTACCCTCAAGAAAAGCGGAGCCACACCGCTGGCAGTCGATGTTTTTTTCTCCAAGCTGAGGCAAGAATGCCGAGGCGCAGGAAGGCCTCAAGGCGGCTTGCGAAGCGAAGGGAAGCGCGTTGGGACCCAGCTTGCCATGTTCCCCAAAAATGACGAGCCGGGTCACGGGGGCGTTTCCCCCCAAGAAAAGGACGAAGCACCGACGCACCCAGTTTTTTTCTGAGAAAAGCAGAGACGCCATGGAGAAGCGCACAGGCGGATTTTGCAGGGAGCTGCCCACTTTTTGGATTGGGATTGGAAGCCCGGAGCACCTCCAAACCACCCTGAAATGGGTCCACAAGGAAACCATCATATTTGTTTTTGGGAGGTTGCCCCCAATGTGTCTCTGGCTTGCTTTCTGTTTGCCCCTCTCAAAAGGAAATGGTCATCATTGCTAGACAAACCAGATTTAAGTGACGCCTTACTCAAATTGCGGTTTTTGCGACTCAAGTTCCGGGCGGTCACCGTTCAAACCCTCCTGAAATGCAAGCTGATGATAACCACCCCCACTTAGATCGTGGAAGTGACCCTATAAACAGGCTACTCACCGGACTTCTTAGCTGGGATCTAAAACACAAAGCGGGGGGCTTCCTCCAAATAAGGTCCAAATGTGCAGCAGGACGGTTCTGAGTGAATGACCCAGGGCCTCTACAACCCATGCCTTATCGGTTCTTTTCAGGATCTGCAGGGTCATTCCCAAAATCCCGAAACTGATACACTACGGACAAGCAGAAACATACAGTAATATACAGTAAAAAGACTCACTTCCTGAGTGGATTTGTTAGAAGATGTTGATCTTTCACTACTGTGGGCTTGTCACCGAGATGGCATTACCTCGGTAGCATCCCAGTTGCAACGAGGAGAAGCAACAGGGACAGATGGCTGTAAAAATTCAATATGGGACCCTTTGGTGGACATTATTTAGGTGGGGATTCATGTCCGCTGAGCACTTGAGGTGGTTCTCGATAAACAATTATCCTTGGCATAGGGTCAACTCATCGCCAAAAATCCAATGGGTCTGTCATGTCCTTTTTTAGGGGACCCCAAAAATGGATTCAAATTCCTGGTTGTGCTTTTGGTTTCCCTTAAAAAGCAACCGCAAAATGACGGGACCCCTCAACACAAAAAGGACGCTTCGAGAACTTTCGGCCATGGGTCAAAATCCAAATACCCCCACTAAAATAGGTTTAAAATGGTTGGTGAATTCACCTACCAACCAAAATGGTACCATTGGTTCTGACCCACAGCCATATGTTCTCGGGGTGTCCTTTTTTTGTTGAGGGCTCCCGTCTCTTTGATTTTTTGGGTTTAGTGGGGTTCGATTCAGGGGCCATTGTTGGTGAATTCACCTACCAACCAAAATGGGATCCCATTGGTTTCGACCCATGGCCATATCCCCGGTGGCCACCTCAGAGGCCTGTCGCACCGTGTGCGTCTACCGCTTCTGTTTGCGTGAGCCGGTGTCCGGTGCCAGCCTGGAGGCGAGGGGGTGCCGCGCAGCGAAGGGGCAAGTGCTGCTGAAAATCTGGACTCAGTTTTTTCCCGACTCGCTCAGTGCAACTAAGTGCGCAGCGTTTTCTTGTTAGGGGGCGGGCGGGGGGGGGAGTTGTTCAAAGGAGCCACGTGCTCAAAACCCGGGTAGAAGGTTAGTAAGGGACAATCCCCTTGCCATAAATAGCTGCGGCCGCCTTCTTAGTTCTTGAAGAATGGTTCTGGGTAGACCATTTTAATACCGGGCTTTGAGTATGGCTCAAAGCGAATCGACCAGATCTGACGACTTTTGACCTTCTCCCTTTTTGGGTTCCCATGTTTAGAGAAGTCCCAAAAGGTGACCACCTTTTATTTCCAGGTGCGCACGGGGCAAGTGAGTTGAAGTTGAAACAGAAACCTACTTGGTCAATACATCTCCCCCCTTGAAACCAGGATAACAGATGTAGTTCATCAGAGGGGTGTTTCTTGGTCAGGGGGAGCGCAACTAAATGAAATGTCAGGAGTCTTCAGCCAAAGTAGCACCCCCCAACCTTTTCACAGCCGGAACCTGACGTTCGAGACCCGGTGCCCTAAAAAGCACAGCACTTAGTCCTGTTCAGTGGGCTTAGCCTTGTTAGGGGGTTATACCCCAAGCGGCTTATCACTTAACTTGGCCGAACAAACCAAAGTAGCCCTGGATTGCTGCACATCTGCCGGAACTGCATTGTGGCCTTGCCTGTTGCTCCCCAAACAAACTGAAGGCTATGGGGTCTCCTCCCGGCTCCGGTTCGGAGTGGCGCTGGGCGGGGATTGTGGGAGGGTTCCTTGTCCTGGCTGCGGTTGGGAATAACACCTGCGCCTTTTTGTTGATCACTTTTTGGGTTGCCTTGATCTTCCCTTGTGATCGGCGGACAGATGGCGTTTTTTGCAGCTCGAAGCTTGGCCAAGGTTGGGTGCTGTACCGAAGGACCATTTCGTTTCAAAAGGAACTGGGGGGGTCATGTTTAATGCCGACGGATTAACCTGCCCCCGATCCACATTTGTGGAGATCCTGTTCGGTGCCGAGTTCTTTCTGAGGGGACCCCTTTTTTGAATGAGATTGGGGAATATCAGGGGTTGCCCTATTTTGGTGCCTCACGCACCTTTGCAGGCCCCTCATCAATGGTGTTTTTGTTTGATCCCAGACACCTAGTTGTGCCGCTTTACGCTTTTTGCAAGGGGTGTTTCTTTGAAAGCCAACTCGCCAAACATCAAAAGAATGCGGACCCTTTGGAAGCAACTACTTTCCTCTTGGCTCCTGTGCTTCATGTCTGGGCCACAGTGCCACCTGGCCAGTGGTTGCCACTGGCGGCTCTCTGCTGAGGTGGGGCCAACTGCGGTCACCAGCGGCCCGGCGAAGGATGCTTTCGAGTTGGGCCTCTTCGCGGCTACGCAGCTCGCTCCGACTCGTCGACTCGTTGTTGTAGGCGTGGACGATGGTACCCAGATGGTAGGTGTTAGGGAAGCCAAGGGAACATGACCCAGTTGTGGGGGTTACCAACTTAGGGCCATGTCGGGGTTGCCAACTCAGCGTCATTTGGGGGGTTACTAACTTATAGGGTCATTTGGGAGTTACCAACTCGTAGGGGTTGGTTCCCACGAAGAACCACCCCCCTCACAGGCCGCGCCGAAAGAAAGCTACGCTGTTCGAAGAAAACTGGTCAGTTGATGTGTGAACCTGTCAGAGGGAAGATCCAGAGGATTCGGCCTAATTGGCCTCTTCAACTGATGGCAGCCTAGAGAATCCCAGTTGCCCAGTAGCCCGAACCTATTCCTTTGGGTGGGTTGGTGCCATTTTGTCAATCCCGCCCACCCAGCAAACCGGGACTTGGAGGGCGGATTCCACCAAACAACTGCTTTTTCACTCAACTTGTCACTTTGGGTCACTGTGGGTCTACGGTTTTTCTTGGGGTCATTCCGTTTCTCATTCCCTGCATCTCTCCTAGGTCCCCCAGTAGTGCCCTTTTACCGTTACTTCTCACCCAACCTTTTTGTTGGGAGGGGGAACCCCCTACTAAAATAGACTACAGACAAAAGAAACGGTACCTCTTTATTCTAACCTCAAACTATTGGAGGTATATTGAAGGCCTGATGTTCATCAGAATGTACCCTCCCTAACATGGCCATTAGGGCCTGGGGTTTAGTCGCGCGCGCCGTCCCAGGCTGCGCCACCCCAGGGGCGGCGACGGGGAGTTCCAGGCCCTCCAGGCTCTGGGTGCGGGGGACGGCACCAAAGCTTCGGCGCATTTTGCCAAGGGATGTTTGGTTGCCAAATGGACTTTCCGGATTAGACCACTAAGAGTTAGTCACTTTTTGCAGGGCAGAAAGCAACCCCCATAACTTCCTCGGCCATTAAATAAATGTCCTTGGGACAACGGACATTTTTTGCTCGAGAAGGGACATTTGTTGCATCCACTATGGGGGCTCAATTTCTTCGAGTGCTCTGATCAGGGCAAATTGACACGATAGACAAACCATAGACAAACCATAGCCACACCGTAGACATATCATAGACATAACCATAGGCAAGCAAAAAACCGCTACGAAAAGTAAGGTGTAAGTCAGGGGTACTTCATTCCTCAGAAGGGGAAACACATTGCAAAATCAGGATGTTCACATCAGGTCGAGTCGTAAAACCGAGATTTGTTGAGCTCGTTGCTCGTTGCTTGCGACCGAGAGGGACCGTGGACAAACCGTAGACAACCCGTAGAAAGTACATTTTCTGCCGTTGAACGGCCATTTATTGCCGTAGAAAGGACATTTTCTGCACACCCCGTTTTTGCACCATTTTGGTGTCAATTCGCGGCACGTGACTTCTCAGGACTTTGTTGCTCGTTTCTGGCTTGGCAATTGGGCAATCAAAGGCTTGTGCGCCAATTACGCAGGCATGGATCGATGGATGTATGCTGGACCAGTACATGCATATTTATCAAATAAACAGTTCCCGAGCCGTGCCCCGTGGCTGACGTTGGCTTCTAGAAGGCAGTGCGAAGCGCACACGAAGCACTCTCAAGCTCGGCAAAATGGGACCGTGCAGTCCTTCCAGCCACTTTTAAATGGGATTTTTGTGAAAATCATGATCCAACCAAATTTAAGCAAAACACGGCCTTTTCACCAGAAACTGTACTTTACCACCTCGGCCATTTATTTACTGTCCTTTGGAAGTCTAGGGAACCTGTGTTTTTGCTGTTGGCTTCCCGTTTTCCAGACCAAAAAGCAGTTCCCCCCCTCAGCGATTCACTTCGGATCCACGGCTACCGGAGCTTTTCAGGTGCTCCAAACCTCGAAATGACTGCACCCGGCCCCAATTCCCAGTACAATTCCCTTCGTGGAGGGTAAGGCAATGGAACCGCCAATTGGGGAAATTGCCACCATCTTTGACACAACTGTGCCGGCATCCCCGGAGATTCCGGGAGACGCCGAATTTGGAACAGCTTTCGATATCAGACCCGCCAGCCTTTTAAATCCGGTCAAGAACCAACGGGATGAATCGGGGCCGATGAGCCCCTCTACAACTATCTTTTGAAGGACCCACCCTCCCTCCAACAACAACAATCATGGTTCTTGTTGTAGTTTCCCTTTAAACACAACCACGCGGGGGAAAAGACGAGCCGCTCAAATCAGCGCGCGCCTCAGCAGCCGCAGGCCTGCGCGCGGGCGGCCAAGGAAGAGTTGGGGGTGCAGCCGGTTGGCGCGCCGCCCATGGACGGCGCGGCGCTGGAGGGGGAGCTGTGGCTCCACGTCTCGGAGGCGCGAAGAGGCCAAAAGACGATGCAGCTTGAACTCTCTGAGCTCATGGATTGGTTTGGTCACTCTTTGGGTTTGGACCACTTTGGTGGTAAGTACAAAGTGTGGTTACATTGTTTGCATGGATCTTTGGGTTTCATGATGAGTGGATCTTTGGTCACTTTTGGGTTTTGGACCAGTTTTTCATGGCAACTGACAAGTTTGGTTACTTTTTTGGGCCAGTCCACTCAGGAAGTGAGGCCTCGGATCCAGCCATCAGAAATGGGTCCCGTCTCCGAAATCGCCCCCCAAGTTGAAGGAAGCCCCAAGGCAGATTCTACCCCCCGAGAGGGTAGCATCAAACCCGCAGATTGGAGATTGAGCAGCAGAGGGGCTTCCTTCAAACCGATGTGTTCGTGTTGCGACACATATAGGAAGGCTGCCGATGCGCCTCTGCGCAGACCAAAGCCGCATGTTTCAGGTGCCCTGCCTCTCATGCGTGGGTGCCATGGCACAGTTCCGGAAGATCTTCCCTGACGTGACTTGGATCGCGCTTTAGGATTCCACCCCTCCCCTCCCCCCCCTCCCCTACCACTTACACGTGGGCCGAGTGGGACAACAGGGGTTGGTAAGTATCCATACAACGATTTGTAATCTACTCGGTGGCTTGAGCATCCACGCTCCCCCCAAACACACCCTGCTAAATGGGGCTTCCTTAGACAGTATGGTATGGTTGTATAGCGGGATTTTCCTGAACCCTCTTCATGAAAAGGAAGCCGAAAGCAAACCCAACCTTTCCGAAGGTCGCATTTTGCTCGCGGATCCCGTGCCAGGTGCTGGGGGTGTTCGGGTTTCCTCGTGACCGCCTCGCAAAAGGACAACGGAGCTTTTGGAGAACAACAAAACATGGCGTTTCCATTGCCACCTACAAAATTGGGTGAAACTAAATGTAGACATTTCGCTCATTACTCCTGGGCGGAGTGAACAACCCCTTGAACCTGCAGAAGGTTATGCAGACCTCTGACTGCTTTGGGGGGTGGGTGGGGGGGGGGGCGGAGGGAACCTGAGGGCTCAACCCAGTTTGGCTTCCTGACCAAAGCCGTCCCAAAGTTTGGGGTCAATGTCGCGGGTTAGGTGAAGCTGCACCTGTCCTTCAATCTGGGTCGACAGCCCTCGCAGGACGGAGAGAAGAAGGCGAGATGCATGGTAGATTCAGGTGTGTGTGTGTGTGTAGTTTTTGCCTCACTCCCAGAGTTCATGGATCTTTGGCAGTCAGTGTAAAGGCCTAAGGACAGTTGGTGAAGAAGGTGCCCACTTTTTTGGGTTAGGACCATTTGGACCATATTAGTGGCATGCCAATCCACTCATTAAGTGACGTGAGTGTGGTTGTGTGGTTTGAAGGGTACCTTTCTAGGGTTGGTTTTAATTAAACTTCACCAGCTTGGCCAAGTAGAGTCAGTGGTTTGGGTTGACCATTTCAGCGCCAAGTGTTCATTCTGACTCGCCTGGATTCTTCTAAATCAATCCTAACGTATTCCTTATGCCAGGTGATAGTGGTTTCCCTTGTATTGGTGTCCCGCTCCTATTGGGGGGGACTTGCCAACCATGGGATAAGTAGAGATCACCCCACCCATTTTCTAAGAAACATGTACTGCAGAAATTCCTGTCTTTCAGGCAACCCTTAGGTGGTTTGGATTGGTGGCTTGGGGATTTGGTCCCGTGGTTCTTGAAGATAAAAACAAATGGGGAGTCCCTAACGTCCAAACCAGCAAACCAAACCACCAATCCGTTGGAAGCTGAGTATTCATGAGTGTTGTTGGGAAACATTGTACATGTTTGCTGATTGTGGCTTAGTGGTTGAAGTCCGACCACTTAACTGCTATTGTTTTGCTCCTCTTTCAACTTCAACCAAGTCTTTGGCTTTAGCATTTTAGTGTTTAGTGGTAGTTGCCATTCAACCCACTAAAAGTTAACCTTTTAGCGGGGCATCTGAGGGCAGCCCAGTAGCGGGAAGCTGCGTCTTCGGGTTCTGTTCGACCTCTGACTCGAGCGTCAGCGGTGCCTCGCCAGGCAGAGCGGACCTGAGCTTTCGCTTGAGACCGCAAAAAAGGGACGGTCGGAGAGCGACGTGAGCGACACAGGGCGGGACCACAAGTAGCAGCCCCCAGCTAGGTGCCCTTTTACCGTTTCTTTTTTGGGGGGAGGGTGCCCCTACTAAAATAGACTAGAGAAAAAAAGGTAGCCTTATTCCAGCCTCTCTACTGAAGGACCTAGACAAGTACCATCCTTAGTGTCCCCACCAAACCTTCCATTTACTGAAATGATCAATTTGTTTCCCCTCTTGGCTTTGAAGGGAATCGATTTCACGTTTGGAGTTATTTCCTCATCTTTTCCGGGGGGCTTAAGCAAACGGAGGAAACGGGGATGGGTGATCCTATGGCGGCTGAGACTAATATATCTGCCATTTCAGCCAGGAACAACGTGACACTCACAGCCATTCTCCGGCCCAAGGGTCAGGATCTTCTCGTGGTCCCATTGCTTGAACCAGTACCTTGGTGGTTCGCTAGCCTTTTAGTCTTTGGTGGGGATTTCCACTTGACCCACTAAAAGTTATTCACTGTTAGCAAGAAAACTGAAAACAGCCCAGTTGCCGCGTTTGGAGTGATTTTGACTGGAGTCTCCTTTTGGGGTGAGGTGTTTGGTTTTGGAGCGCTGTCATGCTGTGGGTGATTGCGAAATCCTCTGAGGCACCACCTAAGAAACCCTAGAATGATATGATATCCTGTAAATACTAACAAACAATGGTTTCCCATGATGTCTTGGGTGGTGCAGGGTTTTGTCCATCCACAGTACCTCTAGACTTTAACCTGGATGATTTCCTGGAACATTCAGAATTTGCATGTTCACAAACCGAAAGGGGCAAGGTTGGGATCCCCAAATACCACTAGGCTCGTAGTGCGACTGACGCCACGCCTTTGAGGGTTCCAATTCCTTTTTGTCGTTTGGCCAAGGGCTTACCCCAAAGCCTTGTGGTTGTGTGCCGCAAAGGCGGGAAACAAGTAAGTTTCAATGAAACCTACAAAAGCTCGATCAGGACCTTGTGCTCGTTGGGGCGGAGGGGTTGAAAATTCCTGGATTTCGAAAGCTCTTCTCCGAAGTGCACTGATCGTGAGGCTCCGGTAGAACCATCTCAACCCTGGTGGCTGTGGGTCAAAACCAATGGGATCCCATTTTGGGGTAGGTGCACCACCCATTTTAGTCCATTTTAGTGGGGATTGGGATGTCACTGGGGGAACGGGGTTTTGACCCATAGCCTGATATTGAATGGAAAAGCCGCCCTGATGCTTGTGCTTATGCCATGAAGAAGTAGGCAGCCAGCGCAAGATCCATCGAAGAACACGTGCACATCTGCGAGAGAGGCTATGGGCCCATGTGCTGATTAGTATTTGATGCTGCTGGTGCTTGCTTGCTTGCTTGCTTGCTTGCTTGCTTGCTTGCTTGCTTGCTTGCTTGCTTGCTTGCTTGCTTGCTTGCTTGCTTGCTTGCTTGCTTGCTTGCTTGCTTGCTTGCTTGCTTGCTTGCTTGCTTGCTTGCTTGCTTGCTTGCTTGCTTGCTTGCTTGCTTGCTTGCTTGCTTGCTTGCTTGCTTGCTTGCTTGCTTGCTTGCTTGCTTGCTTGCTTGCTTGCTTGCTTGCTTGCTTGCTTGCTTGCTTGCTTGCTTGCTTGCTTGCTTGCTTGCTTGCTTGCTTGCTTGCTTGCTTGCTTGCTTGCTTGCTTGCTTGCTTGCTTGCTTGCTTGCTTGCTTGCTTGCTTGCTTGCTTGCTGCAAACTATGCCGCCTTCCATGGTGTGCCAAATGCCTTCCAGTTGGCAGTTGGCTTCTCACGACCAGAGATCCCGTTGTCCAAACCCCAGCTTTCCCACGGCTCATGTGACAGACAGCGGACTTTGAGAACCGACAATACCAGGCTTTTAGCTGTGCAATCCCACATCCTTACTGACGACTGGGGTAAGGGAAGGGGGACTCTTTTTGGTGGTTTTGCAATAGGGATTGTGGATCTGAATTGGCCAAGACTCCATTTGGAGCTGTATCCAGCCTCCACGGAAACGATAGCCCTTTGCATAGCACTGTGTAGGTGTTTACTCCATTTCTTCATTCATGTCATTTGCCACTTTATCCGTTGGCCCATTTCATGTGTTTAGTTATAATATTGCATTTATAAACTCGTAGTTCTCCCTTGCACTGCCTGGGGTCACTCAAGGGGTTTGGATCGCCTGTGCCTTTGCTGACCTCTCCACTCTGCCCCGAAGACAATGGCTCATCCGGTGTGTTCAGGAAAGTGGTTAGGGAACTGGGACGTCTCCTAGGCTTATCCTGGGCTGTTCTCTCGCAAAAAGAGCGCAGCACTCCCGCACCCCTGCAATTGGGGCACATACTATGATACCCTGAGGCAATGTTGTCATACCCCATTAAAATCCTAGAGATACTGGTTTGGGGGTAACCATCTTAGACGCTCGCGTGTCCCAACCATTTTGCCAATTAGCTCCTTACCGAACCCCCCCAAAGACTTCCCACCGGTAAGGAATTGCGTTTGCCGCAAGCTTGGGCCTGGAGTCGAAACAATGTATGCATCAACCTGGTTGATTCGTTTTTGACCTCAAAAGAAGGATTCCCTCTAACATGGGCCCCCAATTATGAGGGCTGCACTGGTAGAGACAGCTTTCCTTGGCAGCACTTTGTGATGCCTGCTAAGTAGAGCCCATGCAGTCCTGATCACCTCGTTTGGCAAACATTCATACAGGCACTTGCATCTTTAATATATAACACAATAATATATATATATATATATATATCAACAAGTGCAGACACAGATGTATCTTACAAACACATATGCTGCATGACATATATTATTGCACATTGTAGAGGTATATGTTTATGTATATCTTAGAGCGAGTTTCACGAAGGCGCATACACGTCCCATACTTTTACACATACGTACATGTGCACCATACACATCATATGCACCAGGCCTTCCTTACACAGGTTTCGTTTCGGTTACGCGGCTTGCCAGGATGGCTCAGCGCGCGCTGGCTTCAAGTGACTCGGCGATGGCTGAGTTATAGCCTCCTGGGCTTCCCCAATACAACCCTGACGGGACCATAGTTAAAGGAAGCCACGGGGAGTGAAGTATCCCATTGGACGCAGAGTTGCGGACATGGCATGGGTGCAGCCCCCTGCACATGTTTTTTTTTTATTTTTTTTTTATTTTTTTATTTTTTTTTTTTCGAAGGAGAAATTCAAAATAGGATGGGCAGGGTCAATTTGTCCAGAGCCTTTGTTCACCCTGCACAGATGCGTGGACCAAGGTACCAGCCCGTTCAATGCAACTTGGCACCGACTCAGGGCAGGGCGTGGGATTTTCTGTCAGCCGCGCCTTCAATGGACCCACTCGAGCTCCATGAACTCTAAACAGGAGACCAAACAGGAATTTCCTTGGACCTGTGTGTGTTTTGCATGTAGCCCGGAGTTCGGATATGCATGTCGCGACCACATAAGCGTGCTCAGAAAGTTTTGACTGTTTGTGGCCACACAGGAAGTGAGTTCCGCAGAGCCAGCAAATGGT